GCGACGTGGAGCATGCAGAAAAGGAAACAGAGAGAGAGAAACAACAGCAACAGCAACAATAAAACAAACAAGAGACAGAGAAAAAGAGAAGAAAAAATGAAGAAAAAAACTTTTAAATAAAAGTAAAAAAAATTAATATGTAAAAAAAAATTTCAGATAAACCCCCAAAATTAGAAAACCTCGTGGTGCTCAGGAGCCATGAAGGTGTCTCTTCAAGAAAGCTTGTTCCCTTCCCTCTCCATGCAAGTTTGTGTGCTGGAGGCCAAATTATCAGTGGAAAATCTTCATTTCTCTGTTTTCCCGAAAATGTCTAGTTCTCAGGAGCAATGAAGGTGTCTCTTCAAGAAAGCTTGTTCCCTTCCCTCTCCATGCAAGTTTGTGTGCTGGAGGCCAAATTATCAGTGGAAAATCTTCATTTCTCTGTTTTCCCGAAAATGTCTAGTTCTCAGGAGCAATGAAGGTGTCTCTTCAAGAAAGCTTGTTCCCTTCCCTCTCCATGCAAGTTTGTGTGCTGGAGGCCAAATTATCAGTGGAAAAATTTCATTTCTCTGTTTCCCCCAAAATGGCTAGTTCTCAGGAGCCACGAAGGTTGATAAAATAATTTTTTTTGGAAAGGTTTTCGCTATAGGGTGCGTGCACTCGCCAGACAGACAAAGAGAGACATAGAGACAGAAAGCGAGAAATCACCCCCCAGAGGGGATGGTCACACCGCAATCCCTTCTCCTCCATTCTCCTCTTGGGATCTTGGGCATGCACGCACACGCACCTGGCATGAGTTTTAAGCCACCAGGTCCAGGACACGAACCGTGGTTGACTACGTGAGAGTCCAGCAACATAGCCATTATGCTAACTGCTGGTTCCCAATAAAATAATTCTTAAAAAAAATTTTAAAAAAAGAGAAAGAAACAGAAGAATCCTGGGACCAGCAGATGGCATAATGGCTGGACTCCCATGTAGTCGACCAGTGGTTTAAGTCCTGGATCTGGTGGCTTAAACTCTCACCCAGCACGTGTGCATGCATGCCCAAGATCCTGAGAGGAGAATGGAAGAGAAGGGATTGCAGCATGGCCATGATATCTTGCTTTCTGTCTGTCTGTCTTTCTGACAAGTGTGTGGGGCCTATAGCAAAAACCTCTCCCCAAAAAAAGAAAAAAAAGAATAAGAAGAGAGGAACACCCTCCACAGGATCTGGTCACATGCTGGCCCCCTTCCTCCTATCCCCCAGCCCCATTGGATCTTGGGTGTATGTTTATGTGCATATCATGCCTCAGGCTGATCAGGCTGGGGATTCAAACTATGATTACCATGGGCGATCTAGTTTCTCTCAAGCAGCACATTATCACTACACCATGGAGCCAGCCCTCCAGGCACTCTTCTGTAGAGATACAGCAGTGAACTTGACAGATATGCTCCTATATAGCTTAAAATCTAATTAGGTGACAGACTAAACAAACAAACAAACAAAAACATGTAAACTATGTACTAGGTTAAAGTGATAAGAAACGTTGATGAGAAAAAAAGAAAACAAGGAAGGGATCTGCAAACCATTGGGTAGAGGGAGGCATGTGTATGTTTTAGATACATTATCCTGGAAGGCCTTGCTGAGAAGGTTATATTTGACAGAATCCTGAAAGAACTGAGAAAGTAAGCTATATGGATACCTGGAGGAAGTACTCCAGGTAGAGAAACTGTCAGTGCAAAGGTCCTGGTGTGTTTGAGGGATAGCAGGGAGTATTTTTCACAACTATTGCAGTGCCTGAGCAGATATTCACAAAATGTTAGAAAACTGTTACTGATGGTGGTGGAACCAGGAATACAATCTAGAACTGCATGGCCTCAATGCTCATCTGCCTGCTATTATTGTTATATTCTCTCTCACAATCATAAGACATATGAGAGGATTTCAAAATGTTCACAGAAAAATAAAAATAAAGTACAAGTTTATCTGTAAAAAATTTGAAATCTGTGCATATTTTTCTTTTGTTAAATATATATTTTAAAGCTTATTAAATAAGAAAGTAAATAAATAAGTAACTCCAAAAAGGTCTTCATACCCCAACCAACTGGTAGTTTCAGTAGGCCTGGATCATAGTCATTCACATGCCTTGAATGATTAGGGAGGTTCCGGTATGTGAATCCAGGACCTTTCCTGTGCTGGTCCAGTTGTGTTACCACTGCACCACCACCTGGCTCACATGCCTTGTTTTATAACTGTCCAGATTTCACATAGGCTTGCCTAGTGTTCCCAATCATATAGTTTTCCTGACTGTAATCTTTGTTGATCCTTACTTGGTAGAATGTTGTTGGACTCTGACATTTCTCTTCATACTAGTCACTGGAGTTGATTTTATTATTCTCACTCGCTGAAGAGTGGTCACTCCCCTCCTTCAATATGTATATGTGTCAAATCAAAGGGTGTACACTTTGGCCAATGGACCAATCTCCCCAGAAAGATGGAGATCCTTAAGTAACGTAAGAAACTATATTAAAATTCTAGTCACGGCCCTTCCCACACACCTCGAGCACTCTATAGAATTATAGCATCTGAAACACTTTGGTTTTGCTACTTCATTTTATTATTTTACTTTGTTTTGAGTAGGTAGTGCACCAAAATATGAAATTTTAAAAGCACAGAATGTTACAGGAGAGCATAATAAGTTTTCCTTCCCCCTTTTCTCAGCTAATCTTTATTCTTGTCTTGAGGTGGGTAAGTAGCCAGATTCTTTTGCATCAGAAATCAAATGCATCTGTGTTTGTGTGCATGTGGATATTTACTCTCCCTCCACACATAATCCCCACCCATATAAAGCTCCTTGAAACCCTTTTCACTCAGTTCTTGCCACACATTGGGAAGAAGGTGGTGCTAGCCCCAAATTGGGAAGAAGTTGGTCCTAGCCCCACATTACAAATAACAAAGCTGAGGCTCAGAGAGTGAGGTTGACTTGCCTAAGGACTCTTGGACAGAAAATAGAAAACCCAGGACTGATGTAGTCTTTTGTACATATCCTTTCTTCTGGGAAGCACCAGGTCCCGGGCTTCAAGCATAGTAGAAGATGTCTAAATACTTGCTGGTAGCTAAAGTGATTTTAAAAATCCCCCAAGTTCTTCTAAGCATATTGATATTTGTATGGCCATCTCTAGATGTAATGCTGGCAAGCATCAATAGGTGAGTAACATTAGGGAGAAAAAAACTTGATTTATTTTTTTCTTGGATATGTCTCTGATCCCTCCACAGATCTATTTAGGTCCACCTGAGGAAAGCACCGCACCCCCAGTGCCTCCACCTCGGGTGACAGCAAGAAGACACAAACCAATCACAATTTCAAAACGTTTGCTCCGGGAAAGGACAGTTTTCTATACATCTTCTCTGGATGAAAATGAAGGTCAGTACTGAGATTCACTTTTAGCTTCTGAATGGTTAATAGACACAAATAGGATTTTGAAGGGTGGAAGTGGAGACATGGCCATTTTCCTCCATATAATGGTTGAACTTTCCTGGGTCCTAGCCTTAGAAGCAGGTAATAGCGGGGATCAGGAAGGGGTGGATTAGTAGTGCAACTACAGACATACACAGGAAAAGTCATGAGTTTACATCCTAGTATTATCCCTGAATACTCTGGGTGCACACACACATGCATGCCTGTGATCTGGGCAAGCTGAGACCATTGGGGTTACCTCTCTTTCTCTTGCTCACTCTCTTGCTCTATCTCTATCTCTCATGGAAGAAAAAATGAACGTTAAAAGAGCAGCCAGGAGAGGCCCAGTCATGGCAGTGTGGTAGTAGGGGTTCTGCTGCATGATACTGGAACCATGGGAAGACTCAAAGTTCCTATCCTGGAAAGGCCTGAACATGCTGGGTGTGCCTTCTGGTACATCCATGATTCTGACTGTCTGGAAGATTGCAGGGAAGATTGTGATGTGGCAAGATTCTGTTTGGAGTCCCTGTCTCCTTTCCTCCCCACTCCTTTCCCTTTTAACAAAAAAACTTTTAAAATATTTTTTAAAACAGCAATCAGAGAGAGAGAGAGAGAGAGAGTCTAAGGAAAGCCATTAAGGAGAAAAATAGAGAGGCAAGACATTTATGGGACAAATAAATGGGTTATTATCTGGTATTGCTTGGGTTATTATCTGTTATTGATAATGCATATACTATCCACAACTGGACTGATGAGAAATGTATTCATGTTGAAACATTCACTTTACTAAATGATCTATATGATTTAATGTATAAAAGAAATTAAAATAAAATAAAATATTTTTTAAAAAGCAATCAGGGGAAGCAATGTTTGTATTTTGTGCCCAGAGAGGGAATTAGTTATTTGGCAATAGATCAGAGAGGATGAACTTGTGAGGGAAACTACCATGATCCATGATCCTTTATAGGGCCACAAGTTGTTCTTGTCTTAGATGTGTGAACTCAGTACATTGCAATGGGAGAGTTGGGTATTTTCTAAATATTCTGAGATTTTAAATTAAAATATGGCTAATATGGAAGTGTGTGCCAAGTGTGGTGCTAGGTGAAATGAACACAGTCCCTGGCCTCAAGAAGCTTATAGGAGAGAGAGAGAGGTGTGAAGAAATGAATGCCATTCAATTGCGTAACTAATTGTTAGTGTGGAGACTGTGCCCATTCTAAAATGTACTTCTGTCCTGAATACTTTGAGACCACTTTTAGCAAGATTACCAACAATATCCATGTGATCAAGCCAAATTGCCACTCCAGTGGCATCACACCCAATTTATGAGCATAATTTGACACGATCAACTAACTTCTCCTGGAAACACCTTATTCACTTGACTTCCACACTCTCCTTTTACCTCACTGGCATTCCCTCTTAGTCTCCTCTGCTGATTTGCCTTCTCTTTCCAACTTCTACATGTTGATTCTATAGCTTTTTTTATATCCCTCTGCTCGATATTCCTTTTCTGCATGATATTCTTAAGTCTTATGGTATTCAATATCATTTAAATGCTAAAGATGAGTTCCAAATTTATAACTAATAACTTACCTCTATGGTGATTGCAAACTCCCTGGTCAACAGTTCTTGTATGACTCATGGGCATCTTAAATTTAAAGTGCACATAAGCCAACTATCTATTCCCTACTCTTCCTTAACCGATTTCTACTCTGGTATTTCCAATCTGAGGAATTGGCAATACCAATCACCCAGCTGCTAAGGTCAAGAACTTTGTAATCATCCTTGATTACTCTTTTCCCCTTTTCTCTTATATCTAATCCATCAGCAGTTTCTGCCAGATCTATATGCACATTATGTGCTAATTCCTACTACTCTTCACTGCTACCATGATGGTTGAACTACCATCATCTCTTACCTGGTTTCCTTGCTTGCCTTCCTGCCTGCATGTAATTCATTCTCCATGGCAGCCAGTAAGACATGAAATCCATTAGGCCTGAAGCATAAAATCTGTTAGGCCTGAAACATGCTGGGCATGTACACAAGTGGTCAAGATCTGATGGTCTGGAAGCCTGGAGAAAGGGGATTTCAGTGTGACCAGACCCTGTGGAGGGTGCTCTTTTCTCTCTCTCTCTCACTCTCTCACTCTCACACATACACATATTCTATCATTAATAAACAAATCATTATTTGAAAAATGCACATTCTCTTAAAAATATAAGTCAGATTATTTTATTTCCCTTGCTCTAAATTTTCAGTGACCCCTTCATGTTTAGAATAAAATTCACATTTAATTTGTGTAACCTTGTTTATCTTTCTGCTTTCATTTCTAAACCTCGCTGCCTCACTGTCCCCTTTGTTCTCTCTACTCTAGTCTCATTGGTCTTGCTGTTTTTTTATATGTATCAAGCTTATTTAAGTGCTTTTGCATTCACTGTTATCTTGGCCCTAGCATATTTCCTCCAGAATTTCACAAAGCTCACTTCATTCAGATATCTGCTACATATCCTCTCTTCATCGAAATATTTTTTGAATTTTCAAATTTAATACTGCTTTCTCCTCCTCTAATCACTCCTTATCCCTTTATACCACTTTATTTAACTCATAACCTGCTATTATTTTTTTAATTGTCAGAAGGCTTGTGTGCTCACCAGAGAGAGGGAGACAGCACCCCTTAGTGGCATGTGGTCACACTGCAATAACCTTTTTTCTGTTTCTTCATCCTGTTGGGATTCAAGGCATGCAAGAACATGTCCCCAGTGTGTTTTTCAAGTTGCTGGGAATGGAATTGAAACCTAAATTGTTCCATAATCTCACCTTTATGACATAAAATTTGTTTGCATATTTATGGTCTCCCTAAATATAAATTCTATTCTTTTTTTCCACACTCTACCCACAGCACTAGCATAATACCTGGCAAATAGTAAATATTCAGTAACCGAATTAACTGAATATCAGCAAACCTACGCTCTAATTTCATACTGGCCACTAGCCTTTCCTTCTCTGGGTCTCAGTTTGCCCCTGTCTAAGATAAGGGCTTTGTACCAGAAGATCTTCAGTGAGGTCACCTGATCTGGACATTGTTTTAAAATTTTAACTGTTTTTTAAACTGAGATATAATTCACATATTATAACATTTAAACCTTTTAACATGTATGAGATTACTTCATAAAGTTAGTGGGGAAAAATAGTTAAAGTACAAGTTTACTTAGGTGTAGAAAAATGGAAATCTATGCATAGTTTTTTGTTTGTTTGTTTGTTTGGGTGAGGTTTTTGTTATAGGGCATGTGCACTCGCCAGACAGAGAGAGACAGGGAGATAGAAAGCGAGAAATCACCCCCCAGGGGGGATGGCCATGCCGCAATCCCTTCTCCTCCATTCTCCTCTCCGGATCTTGGGCACACACGCATACGCACCCGGTGTGAGTTTAAGTCACCGGGTCCAGGATTTGAACCACGGTCGACTACATGGGAGTCCAGCGACATAGCCATTACACTAACTGCTGGTCCTTAGATTTCAAAATTTTGACTACATTTGTGTAGGCTAATTTTTCTAGAGAGAGGGTTCCTGGTTCTCCTTAGGATCTCAAAAGCTTCAAGTAAGACTAAGAACCACTGTAAAGCACATACCAATGTCAGAGGAACTTCTAGATGCAGAAGTTGGGGGAAGACAAAATGTGACTAGTTAACTAATTGGGTAATTTTTTTTATGGGATGGAAAAAGAAGTTAAATTCAAGTTAACTTGAAATTTGAGCATTCTTAAATTATTTTAGAGAGAAAGTTAAGAATTAACTGATGTTTTTATTTAAAAAGAATAAAATACACAATTGATTTGGGACTCCAAGCCTCTTTTTAATAACATATGCCTTTGAATCAAATATCTTGGTTTATTATTGTTTACTAAGCTGTGGGGGTGAAAATCATACTTGGATATTAAATTGAATTCCCTATTTGAATGTGGCTTGTGGTTCCACATGAATTGAGGAGGGTAGAGACTGATTTGGGAGGACATGGTTGACTTGTGACATGATGCTAGCTATTTTGAAAACATGTACACATTTTCAAAATTAAGTATGTATGCATGTATCAAAATTTAAAAAGTTCTAAAAGTTATCATTAATTTTCTCTGTTTACATCAACATTTTTCAGATGAAATCCAATTTCAAACACCTAATGGAACTATCAGCAGTAGCACAGAGGCCCCCAAGCTACTACAGCACCCAAAACTGCCTTTACAAAGAAGTGGAGAAACTGATCCTGGGAGGAAGTCTCCAAGCAGACTTCCTTCAGATAGCAAGTTGGAAACATGCCCTGAGGTGGATGTGGGAAAATTGGCTTTTAGGTTACAGGATGGAGGGACCAAGGCCAACCCAAAGGCCACTAATGGACCCCTGCCAAGCTCTGGGCCTGCCAAAACTTCCTCATTCCATATAAAGAGACCAGCTCCTCGACCTCTAGCTCAGCACAAGGAAGGTAAGTACCTGAGAATCCCTTGAGAACAAGAAATTAATTCAACTAATTTTCATCTTGAGATCCTTTTAAGTGTAGAGATATTTAAGTGCAAATCTGTTATAGTTTACTATCACTAATATTGAAATGGTGGATAAGACCATAAAAACCATTTACAATAATCACTAGAATGTAATGATGGGGATTTTTTTTCTTATATATATTTATTATTTACATTTAATTACTATACATCTTTACATTGTACAACATGGTTTTTCCCAGCATAAATACAGTGCCTATCAGACAAGACAAAGACCTTACTATATACATTATTACCAGCAAATAGCTTTTTATTTTTGTGTCAATTAAATATATTGTTTGTTTTCCTCCCTGTTCACCTCCATCCATCCCCCTATTACCCACTCCCGTAATGCCCCCCTTACTATCTCTAGTATCTACATTTGCCTTCCCTGCTATTATACCTTCCAATCTTTCAGTTTCTACTATAGAGCACAGACATTTGGTATATATTAAATGGGGACATACAAAGTCTGTCTTTCGTAGTCTGGCTTGCTTCACTTAGCGCTAAGACTTCCATATACGTCTACTTTGTATCAAATGTCAGGAACTCATTGCTTTTTGTGACTGAATAGTAGTCCATAGAATACATATGCCACTTTTCCTTTTTCTTTTTTTTTAATTTAAATTCTTTTATACATTCAATCACATATGTTACTTAGCTTGCAAAGTGAACATTCCAACATGTATACATTTCTCACCACTCCAGTTGAAAATACTACACATTATCTTCAACAGATAAGTTAAATTATCTTCAATTTATTTTTGTTCCATAACTGCCTTGCCTATTTTTCTTCTTAATGTCCTTCCTCAGACTCTCCTCCTTTACCCACACTCATACCATACTGTATCTAGTATTTATAACCATTTTCTATGTTCCTAAATCCTACAGTCATTCAGTTTTGGCAATAGAGTACAGACACATGGTGTATATTAAGTGGAGACATAAAATGTCTCTCCTTCATAGCCTGGCTTGCTTTGCTCAGCAGTAAATCTTCCATATTCATACATTTTCTTTCAAAAGCCAGAGTCTTGTTTTTTATGGCTGAGTAGTATTCCAAAGAATATACTTGTGAAAAGTGCCACACTTTTTCAATCCACTCCTCTGTTTGTCAGTTTTTGGGTTGGTTCCATGTGTTTGTAATTGTGAATAATGTCACAATAAATATCAATGTGCAAGGACTTTTCCGATTAAGAATTCTTCTGTATTTTGGGTAGATAGCAAGGAGTGGGATTGCTGGATCATATGGTAGTTCTATTTGTAAATCTTTGAGGAATCTCCATATTGTTCTACACAGTGGTTGGACCAATTTACATTCCCACCAGCAGTGTAGGAGAGTTCCTCATTCACCACACCTATGCCAGCACTTAGCATTTTTAGTTTTTTAATCTTAGTCTTTCTGACTGGAGTTAGGTGGTACCTCTTGTGTTTTGATATGCATCCCATTACCCCATCTGCTGGTCCCAAGGATGCATTTCTTTTTTGAGAGGTTTTTTTTTTTTTTTTTTTCACTCATTCTCCCATCTTTTAATTGGGTTGGTCATCTCTTTTTGGGAAACCAGCTAGTCCCTTGTGTATTCTGGTTATCAGTCTCCTATCTCACAAATAGTTTACAAAAATAGTCTCCCATTCTGAGGGCTTTCGATTCACACTAATTACTGTGTCTTTTGCCATGCAGAAACTTCTTAATCTGATGTAATTCAACTTGTCTATTTTTTGAGATTATTCACTGTGCTTTAGGGACCTTATTTAAGAAGTCTTTGCCTACCCCAATGTCTCTCAGAGTTTCCCCAGTGTTTTCCAGCAGTAGTTTTACAATTTGTGGTCTTAGATTTAGATCACTGATCCACTTTGAGTTGATTTTTATCAATGGTGAGAGGTAGGGGTTCAGATTCAACTTTCTGCAGGTGGATATTCAGTTTGTCCAGCACCATATTCTAAAGAGGTTTTGCTTTTCCCACTGGGTTGACTGGCACCCTTTGTCAAAAATCAGTTGGCTGTATGTTTGGGAGTTTATTTCTAGGGTCTCTACTCTGTCACATTGGTCTACGTGTCTGATTCTGTTCCAATACCATGCTGTTTTGATTACCACAGCTTTGTAGTAAAGTATATTTTGATAGTTTTACTTGTGGAGATCATTAATGTCTTTGATTAGATTTATTTCCAGGTATATTATACTTTGTGTGGATAAGGTAAATGGAATTACTTTCTTTAGTTCTACCTCAGTCATCCTGCTGTTTGTATATAGAAATAGTATAGATTTCTGTATATTGGCTTTGTATCCTCCAAATTTACTGTATTCATTTATTACTCCCAGGAATTTTTTCGTGGCTATCATTGGGTCATCTATGTATATAATCATGTCATCTGCAAATAGAAATAATTTCACATCTTCTTTTCCTATTTAAATGGCTTTTATTTTATTCTCTTTTCTGATTGCATTGGGAAGGGCTTCCAGTATCATATTGAAAAGGAGTGGAGGAAGTGAGTATCCTTGTTTTGTAACAGTTTCATTCAGGATGATGTTCTCTATGCGTTTTTCATAGATACCTTTTATTGTGTTGAGGAATGACCCTTCTATGCTGATTTGTCTGAGTCTTGATCATGAAGGGATGTTGTATCTTATCAAATCCTTTTACTGCATCAATTGATATGATCATATGCTTTTTATATTTCTGTTAATATGGTGTATTACATTTATGGTTTTACATATGTTGAACCAACCTTGCATCCCTGAATAAAGCCTACCTGGTTGTGACATATAATCTTCTTTATATGTTATTGGATACAATTTGCTAGTATCTTCTTGAGAATTTTTACGTCTATATTCATCAGAGATATTGGTTTATAGTTTTCTTTCTTTGTACGGTCCTTGTCTATTTACAGGATAAGGCTGATGGAGGCTTTATAGAATGAGCTTGGGAGAGATCCACCCTTTTGGATCTTTAGAAATAACTTTAGCAGAAGTGGTGGTTGACTCTTCTTTAAAAGTTTTGTAGAATTCATAGGTGAAGCCATCAGGGCCAGGGCTTTTCTCTGTTGGGAGGTTATTGATTTCTGATTCAATATCCTGGCTTGTTATGGGCCTATTCAGACTTTTGACATCCTCCTGACTCAATGTTGATATATTATATGTGTCCAGGAATTTGTCCATCTCATCCAGATTTTATTTGTTGGTGTATAGTTGTTCATAGTATACTTTAATGATGTTTTATATTTCTATTATATCTGTTTTTATATTGCCTGGTTCATTACAAATTTGATTTACCTGGTTCCTTTCTCTCTTCTTCTCAATCAGTCTAGCTAATGGTGTATCAATTTTGTTTATCTTCTCAAATAACTAGCTTTTACTTTTATTTATTTTCTGTATAATTTGTTTATTTTCTATTTCATTTATTTCTGCTTAAATCTCTATTATTTCTTTTCTTCTGGAGTTTTTTGTATTTTTTTACTGTTGCTTTTCCAATTATTTTAGGCATGATGCTAGGTGGCCCATTTGCCTTCTTTCCAACTTCTTCTTATGTGCATTAATTGGTATGAACTTCCCTCTTATGACTGCTTTTGCAGTGTCTCAATGATTATGGAAACTTGTGTCCTCATTGTCATTGGCATCCATGAATCTTTTTATTTCTGTCCTTGTTTCTTCAGTAGTTGTAAAGTCATTCAAGAGTAGCTTATTTAGTTTCCATGTATTTGTGTATTTTTAAGATTTTTCTTGAAATTAATATCAAGTTTAATTCTATCATGTTTGGAGAAGATGCTGGATATATGTTCTATGCCTTCGAATCTGTAGAGGCTTGCTTTGTGCTCTATCATGTGGTTAGTCTTTAAAAAGATTCCATGTGGGGGCTAGAAAAAAGCGTATCTCATGGTTTTTGGGTACAAAGTTCTGTAGATGTATGTCAAGTACATTTGATTTATGATATCATTTAGATCCTTTATCTCTTTACTTATTTTTTGTCTAGATGATCTGTCCCAAGGAGATAGTGGGTTGTTGAGGTCTCCATCAATTAGTGTGTTGCTGTCTATCTCTCCTTTTAGATCTAACAGTCTTTTCTTCACATATTTGAGTGCTCCTGAGTTAGGTGCATAGATGTTTATAAGCATTATATCTTCTTGATGGATTAACCCTTTTACTACTATATAGTGCCCTTTACCTCTTTGAACAATTTTTATTTCAAAGCCTATTTTGCCAGAAATTAGTATCATGACTCCAGCTCTTTTTGGGTTCCCATTTGCATGGAATACCTTTTTTTCAGCCCTTCACTTTAAGTCTATGTATGTCTTTATCCATGAGATGCATTTCTTGTAGGCAACAGATAGAGGGTTTCTGGTTTGTGGGGTTTTTTTTTGGGGGGGAGGGGGTTGTTTGTTTGTTTGTTTGTTTTTGGTTTATTCAGCCAGTCTGTGTCTCTTGATTGGCGAATTTTTTTGGGTTCCCATTTGCATGGAATACCTTTTTTTCAGCCCTTCACTTTAAGTCTATGTATGTCTTTATCCATGAGATGCATTTCTTGTAGGCAACAGATAGAGGGTTTCTGGTTTGTGGGGTTTTTTTTTGGGGGGGAGGGGGTTGTTTGTTTGTTTGTTTGTTTTTGGTTTATTCAGCCAGTCTGTGTCTCTTGATTGGAGAATTTAATCCATTAACATTCAATGTTATTATTGATATTTCTGGACTTGCCCCTACCTTTAAGTTGGCCATTGTCTTCGTTGTCTTTTATTCCCTTATTTCTGGCTGTTCATTCTTTAGTTTTCTTGGAATAGGACTCTCTTCAGAGTTTCTTGAAGAGGTGGTCTAGTGTTAGCAAATTCTCTGATGTTTTGTTTGTCTAAGAAGATTTTAATCTTTTTTTTTCCCATATGAAAAATAATCTTGCTGGGTATAATAATCTTGATTGAAATTGTTTCTCTCTTAACACTTTCAATATGTCTTCCCTTTCTTTCC